TAATCTGATATATTTAGAAGAATGACAAATTACAGAATATTGGAAAAAACCGTCTGAACAACCTTGAATTTTTACTAATTCAAAATGTCAGGCAGTATCATTTCCATGATGTGGCGAAGTATGAAAAAATTTCACCGATGGAAAGTATAAACATTAAGGAGTTTAGGCCAAAATGAGGAATAGATCTGCCTGTCATTAGATGAGATGTTGCCATGGCAATGGCCTTAATCCAAAAATTGACAACCAAAAAATAAGCCTTATTTTAACAGTACCCATACTGGTAAACCTCTACAGGGAAAACTTTAAGAGAAATTAACTAAGTTTCCTTTTCTAACTCGCGCTCTATAGGGAGGGTGTTTGTAAATACTCTAAAAGTAAGGAGATTTTGTCTGAAATGTTACACTCGATACGGATATTATTGCGTTATTCAACTAAATAATGGTAATCAGTTGACAATTACTTCCACCAATAAGAAGGAATTTCTGAAAATAAACAGCCGTTTCGAGAAAGGTTGTCCTACCAAAGCGTAACGACGCACACGGCAATGTCGAAAGGTATTATGGGTAATGGTGGTTTACTGTTGCTTGATTGAACCTCAAGGTGTTTCAGCGTGATAGAAGGATACAGCACAAACACGTGTATTCATGCTTTCTGTTTCCTTCTTGCTGAAACACCGCGAACCTCAATCAAGCATCGCCAAACTATTACTACCTAATAATACCACTCGGCATTGTGAGTTCTGATTTGTGTTTGTCGTTTCTTTAGTTTTGGCTTCCCGACATTCATGCAAAAATGTTCCATTGAACTGGCCCTTACTTACCCGCCTCTGACAAGATCTGTCACAGTTTCCGACACAGAATCATCTCCGGCGGTGGAATACTACGGACAAAGAAAAAAGAACAACCCTTAGGACGAAAGCATGCTTAAAAGCTGAGGATTTGAGCTCATACAATATGAAATAAAAGAACACGTGAAAGCGTCTAGCGCTGTTCATTAGAGGTAACAGGTACTTTTCGGCCAAAATGAGAATCTCGTGTAGATAAAACCAAGATCGCGGATTATGACAGAGATATCGAAAAGCAGTAATAAGACAACGTTCAGAAACTGTTCGGTGAAATCTACGAAGATTTGCCGATTACTAAACGAATGATGTCACGAATCTGTTTCTGTTATGTAAATGTTGTCTCGGTGCACCCGTAAGAAAACAACCTACCTCTTTACTTCTTTCATCCAGAATCTCAACAAATTTGGCAGGGAACCAACCTGGAATTAAAGGAGTTGAGGTAAAAAGAACATCTAAACCACAAACACAATTCGACAACAGTCTACTATCTAATTAGAAAAATCTTGTTTTATGTCAGCAAGTGCAAAATCAAACAATGTTTCCTGCGCTTTCTGCTGCAAGCTTTAAACGCGTGTTCTGAATGGTTATTGAGAAATTTGCATCAATATAACAGTTAAATGTCATTACAATTGCTTCGTTTCAGTTTGCCTGTTTTTTTGGCTGTTTGCTTTGTTCGTTTGTTGTTTGTTTGTTTTTGGTTTTGGTTTTGGTTTTGTTTCTTACTTACTGTTTTGTTTTCTTACCTCCTGTAAGTTATCAATGCTTCTTGACTTGGCCCTAAAGGATACAAATACATCCCTATGGCCACCAACAACGCCTTCGTTTACTCCCATTGGTTCGCGCCAAATACCTTTGACTGGAGGTATTTCCCATAAAAAAAAAAATGAAAATTCTTCATACCCTTGCATCTTACCTCTCAAACCATTAAGTTCACCAACCCAGCAGTGCTCGTCCTTTTGCGAAATTATCTGCGATAAAAATAAGTTGTTAACTCTGAGAGTAATGCGGTGCACTAGCTGTTACTGGTCGAAAAGTACGCCTGGATTTCCGTAGCTTAATTCAAAAGCGGGACCCTGAGCCTTTTAGTTTGTCACTCAATGTTGGCTGAAAAACTCAGTCCTTGACGAGTGAAAAACGTTCCTAAATAGCCTAGGAGGTTCTGTGCTCGCAACCTTGTAACGAAACCATTGCGAAGAACGAGGCTACATCAGCAGCAACACAACATACCGTAACAATGTCATTTTTCCGAAATCCAAGTTCATCGTCATCATGTCTCTCAAAGTCCAACAGAGCCTTAGCTCGTCTCCGACGATTCCTGTGGACCAAGCACAAAACAGAGGTGTCGACTGTGATGCGCACTGACTATTGAAACTTGGGATATCGTTTCATTGAATAATCTTGTTTGTAACGGTGAATGTCCTTCTTTTAGTCTTCTCGGGAATTGGATTATCCAGAGAACTTCTAAATCTTGCTCCGAAAGTTCTGAGAAATGAGAAAACCTCGTCATTTTGTAGACGACATCCTACACTGCACAACAGGTTCAGCCAATCAGATTGCAGTATTTGCACTTTGTGTTCAGTACTAGTTCAAGTCCACTAAAATACTTATCTTATCAGAAATGACTCTCTCAACAAATGACTTCACGAGGCAATGGTTTTTACAGCGTACCTGGCTACGTTGATAAACCTTTCATGGTCTCTTGCATGACTTTCCATTGAATAGTCAACTTCCAGACCCTAAAGGCAATGAGAAACAATCGTAAAACACTATTCTCCTCGATCAACTTATTGACGCACGATAAAAGCCTTACGCGGTGAGAAATAGCTAAGAGCGACTAACTCTACGTTACGGTTTGCGCATCTTGTAAACTTAGCCTAATGTTTTCAAGTGTCTCTTTCGTAATCTGTGTTAATTTTCTCCATACTTAACCATCCTTGTTCTTTTAAGGTTTATTATCATCTTTTTGGTGTTTTTCTGTCTTTATGAACTAGTATTTTCAGGTTTCTTCAATTTAAAGGTAATTTTGTACCTGACCAAAATAGTTTAAAATACCGTGACTGAACTCCCTCAAAGGGTATGTCTACTCTAGTCCCACCTTCTTAGGATCCACAGCGTCAAAATGTCGGGCTATTTGAAGAATTGCTTCCCTTAAATCGGCCACCAGTTCTGAAAAAAATAGTAGTGTACTCAAGAATAAACAAGTGGTTCCGATATTATTTATTATATTAACAATTATGACTTCAGATGACTGATAAACACCAATTATATCACAAACACTGTATGCCACTTTTCCGCAAGGAAGTGGCTATCTGAGCAATATTCTTTTACCCATTCGTTTAACTTTAAGTCGAAGTTAGTGGTTGCTTATAGTGACCACACTATGCTCTTGCAGTGGATCGTTTTAACGCAAATTGTACTGTTATTCAATGCAGCTGCCGTGTTTAGCGTCAGTCCACTAGTACCAAGTCACAGTTGACTTAGTTGTCTTCTCCAATGTACTTGTTCTGTTTGCATGACTAATGGCTCTTTGATGAATAAAATTTCGTCACAAGATGGAGATATTGTTACCCACCTGTCTGTCGGATGTTTTTAGCCTTATGCAAGGAAATGCCANATTTTCACATCCACAAATCTTGCGTACACCACGGTACAAACTAAAGATCGGACGCTTTCAATATTCACTCACGAACCACGCGGAAATTGTTCTGTCTACGTAAAGTAAGCACAAAAATAGACGAAGCCTTGACATTTCGGACATCACCAGCACTCTTTCAGTTACTTCTTCCACTTAGCCAAGTCGGCCATACATTTAAATTCCAAAAGGTCGCTCCATATTAACCATTCGCATTGGTTTTTAAATTGAAATGAGTAGCAGTACACTAATAGAGCTGTTTGAATTGGTCATATTGTGTTCAGTTTTACACGAGGAGTCACAGAGCACTACAACCCACAAGAACCTGAATACACGGCAGAGTCTTTTGGCCACGATCCTCCGCAAAGCACAGGTAGAGAATGGAATTATCTTCCAGTTGACGAGCTTATTTACCAGGAATACGGCGACAGAGAAGCCACAAACTTAGACTATCTCGCGGACGGTCTAGCCATCTTGATATAAGGGTTATAAACGTGTGTTCCACAGTGAAAAACAAAGGAAGATCTACGAGATGAAGATAGAGCAATGGCTTGGAAGCGTCCCAGACCATCCACTCTCCGTAAATTTCTTAATTAATGTACACTGCAGCATCAATTTCACTACTAACCTCTACCATCAACGGTATAGTATTCGTAATGACCATATATCTGGGTTATAAAGCTTAATTGTCATGACTGTTTGCCGAAGACGGAGGGAAAAGACATCCTAGTAGCGATTGTAAATACAGTGCTATTAGCTATAACGACAAGCGGAAACGTTTTTGTGACGGGCATGGCACATAACCGTTTAAGTGATGCGCAAACAAGCCTTAAGAATAACAGGCCCTTTCCCCTGTGTATAGTTTTTGCTCATGTTGAATGCTCCTTACGCTTTTATAAAGAACAAAATGCTAAATTAAGGTGATCGCTGAAGTAAAAGGTCTAAGTTTACAGCAAAAGAGTGGTTATATCCGGGACTGTCCACCTGGCTACTGATCGAATTGACTGAAGTCGCAGTTTTCTGCACCTGTGCTGCTAAGCAACTTAACTTCTCAAACGTGTTCGCAGGAGTGCTTGCGCAAGTTTCAAAACGCCACTTCTTGTTCTGTCTGAAGGCAGCGTGGCCGAGATGTTAGCGCGCCGGACTTTAATCCGGAGGTTGCGGGTTCAAGTTCCGCTCTTACCACTTAGCCGGAGTTATTTCTCGGTAGACCCTAGTTCAACTCCTCGGTCATGCTTGTAAAAGGCCAACTTGTCTGCCTCCCGCCAGTTGGGAATTTAAAGCCTGTCATGTTTAGTTGATATATTTGTTTCTTTCAGTTTAAGTGGCATGCCTGTGAACTAGCAAGGTGCAGCTAAGCGCATTGACCAATATAAAAACAACAACATTTGAAAAACAACAACAACAACAAACTGTAAAGCAGTATTCAAAGCGTTATTGACTTACCTAAACGTCTTACACAGCACCAGTCGAGAGTAAACTGACTGAAAATCCCGGTCCACTTCACGTTGACTTGCCTGGACATAAAAGAGGAATAGTAAATTGACTGGAGTTAATTAACGTTTTTCCCAATGTGAAGTCACATATATTGAGTGCAATTTGTTGGCAATTTAGTCGATGTTTAATCGTTCATTTTCTTATAATCTTGATTTATTATTTATTATTTCTCAAGTTATTTCCCGGAATCGAAAAAAGCCTTACGTTGGTGATAGGGGGGTGTAACTCTACGATGAACTGCCCGGGGGGAGTCTGCAGTACAAGCACAGTTTGTGGTTGGGCAATTTTTAAAACCGTATACCCCTCGACACCGTCACTGGGGATTGGCCTAACCTTTGATTTCCAAGAGTGATTAAAATCTTATTTCTTGTTATAGTATCGATACATTATCAACCAAGCAAGTGACGAAAATATAGAAATTTGTCAACTAGAGCATATTGTCTCGATGTAACAACAAATTTTCTGAACTGACATTGAAAGAAATGTATGGAATTCAGTAAGGAGACTACTGAGCAAGACAGCACTTTTTCCTCACAGGTTGAAGGAGAAGGAGAGAACAGTCAACCCCGGGGAGGGGNGGGGGGGGGGGGGGGGGGGACTCCAGTATTAAAAGGACCGGGGTGCTCGTCTAAAATTTTGAAAAGAACCCCTATGAGGTACCACGATCCTGTTTTGTGGGCGTGGCTTGACATGTTTTTCACTCCTAGGAGGTACCGATTCTAAAACAACACATTATCTCCTGTCATATTTTTTCGGCTCAACACCGTAAAAAGTACCGCAGAAGCTCCTGCTGTGGATCGTTTGAGGCTGAACACCCTAAGAGGTACCAAATTTTTTAACCCCTACGAGGTACGACGAACACCCCCGTCCTTTTTACATGGGAGGCCCCTGGGGAGTCAAGCCTTGCTCACCTCTTCCATAAAGAGCCAAGGATGACAAGGACCTCCTAAAATGGATGGTTTTCTCATGCCGTGTAGGAATATCGACTTCAGGGCCGGGCACAACCTTCAATGTGGATCAATGTAACAAAAAAAGGTAAGTAAAATGAAGAACCTGATTATCTCAGTCTTTACTGTTAAGGTGGCTTCCTATAGTTTTATGATTGCACGCGCGCATAGGACGAAAGCTCAAGTAATCTGCGCGCGTTCAGAGGAAAACGCCAGTGTTTTACGATTTTTATGACGTCAACATGAGCACAAAAAGTAAAACTGACAGTGAATTTCCTTGCGTTTCCTTCGGTGAATTTTTTTAAAAATTGGCTCAGTTGTAACCACGTACAATTTGTTTGAAATGCCGTACTCTTGTTAAAATCTGTCAGAGCTAATCTGATATATTTAGAAGAATGACAAATTACAGAATATTGGAAAAAACCGTCTGAACAACCTTGAATTTTTACTAATTCAAAATGTCAGGCAGTATCATTTCCATGATGTGGCGAAGTATGAAAAAATTTCACCGATGGAAAGTATAAACATTAAGGAGTTTAGGCCAAAATGAGGAATAGATCTGCCTGTCATTAGATGAGATNGTCTCCGACGATTCCTGTGGACCAAGCACAAAACAGAGGTGTCGACTGTGATGCGCACTGACTATTGAAACTTGGGATATCGTTTCATTGAATAATCTTGTTTGTAACGGTGAATGTCCTTCTTTTAGTCTTCTCGGGAATTGGATTATCCAGAGAACTTCTAAATCTTGCTCCGAAAGTTCTGAGAAATGAGAAAACCGCGTCATTTTGTAGACGACATCCTACACTGCACAACAGGTTCAGCCAATCAGATTGCAGTATTTGCACTTTGTGTTCAGTACTAGTTCAAGTCCACTAAAATACTTATCTTATCAGAAATGACTCTCTCAACAAATGACTTCACGAGGCAATGGTTTTTACAGCGTACCTGGCTACGTTGATAAACCTTTCATGGTCTCTTGCATGACTTTCCATTGAATAGTCAACTTCCAGACCCTAAAGGCAATGAGAAACAATCGTAAAACACTATTCTCCTCGATCAACTTATTGACGCACGATAAAAGCCTTACGCGGTGAGAAATAGCTAAGAGCGACTAACTCTACGTTACGGTTTGCGCATCTTGTAAACTTAGCCTAATGTTTTCAAGTGTCTCTTTCGTAATCTGTGTTAATTTTCTCCATACTTAACCATCCTTGTTCTTTTAAGGTTTATTATCATCTTTTTGGTGTTTTTCTGTCTTTATGAACTAGTATTTTCAGGTTTCTTCAATTTAAAGGTAATTTTGTACCTGACCAAAATAGTTTAAAATACCGTGACTGAACTCCCTCAAAGGGTATGTCTACTCTAGTCCCACCTTCTTAGGATCCACAGCGTCAAAATGTCGGGCTATTTGAAGAATTGCTTCCCTTAAATCGGCCACCAGTTCTGAAAAAAATAGTAGTGTACTCAAGAATAAACAAGTGGTTCCGATATTATTTATTATATTAACAATTATGACTTCAGATGACTGATAAACACCAATTATATCACAAACACTGTATGCCACTTTTCCGCAAGGAAGTGGCTATCTGAGCAATATTCTTTTACCCATTCGTTTAACTTTAAGTCGAAGTTAGTGGTTGCTTATAGTGACCACACTATGCTCTTGCAGTGGATCGTTTTAACGCAAATTGTACTGTTATTCAATGCAGCTGCCGTGTTTAGCGTCAGTCCACTAGTACCAAGTCACAGTTGACTTAGTTGTCTTCTCCAATGTACTTGTTCTGTTTGCATGACTAATGGCTCTTTGATGAATAAAATTTCGTCACAAGATGGAGATATTGTTACCCACCTGTCTGTCGGATGTTTTTAGCCTTATGCAAGGAAATGCCACCTTTTCCTGAAGAGAAAAAAAGGAACATTGTTTGATAGTGACATGGCTTGTTCACGTTTTCCCAGCTTCGTTTCCTCTAGATGTTCTTATTTTTGACTTCTGAACGGTCAATTGAAATATTTGTGATTGGCCATATAAGATTGCCTTTTACAATCATTAGGTAAAAGGAAGGAGTTGCTCCCTATAGATGTATTGAAATTTTACCCAGATTCAATAGCCAGCCAGTATACTTTCTAACTTTCTGTCTTTGTACAACCAAACTGGATTGGTGAAAGAAGAGAGGCTTGACAAAAGCCAGCCCTGGCCCTACAGGTTGATAGATTGACATAGAGTCACTAAACCCATCCCGTAAAAGCCCAGGTGATAAATGATTACAGAAACCCCCAACGGGGCCTTATGAGCAAAAGTAAGTATTTCATCCGCTAAATAAAGTCATGTGCTCACCAAAGAGTAGACTGAAGAATGTTCTTGGTGGAGTTATTGTTCTTTTTTGAAGTCGCTGTATAGCAGAGAAAAAACATGTTCATTCAGGATTTAGTTAAGTCCTACGTAACTTTAGAAGAACACTGTACATTTATGTTACACTACATCTGATCAGAGTAATGCAAGAGGAATCTTAAGCCAAAGAAGGTGTGTGAGCAAATCTCGCAATGTCTGTTGTTCAGAACTACTGGAATGCCGGGCATAACTAAAACTTACTCAGATTTTACATGTACCATCATCTCTGTCTATTATTCTCCAGTGTTGTCAAAAACGACTCATTAAAATCAACATCAACAGGGGAGAATGCTGAGGTGCTCACAAACACATATACATGTACTATATGGTACAGCACTTTAAATCTCATGAACTCCACAGCTGATTGAAAATAAATTCATGACATTACATGCTGTGTTCTAACCAGTGAGAGCAAGCATGATGGAAATCGTTTTCCTACTGCATTATTTCGGAGAAAAAAAAAAACAAAAACGTAAACCAATCATCACATGGTATGCACAAAAATTTCCTCTCTACTCAGTGAATTGAAACCACTACTGNAAAAAAAAATCAGACTTCTATGGGATTCACAACTCACTATGACTATTGCATGTAAAAATAGTAGATGACACGTAGTTATTAACGTATACAAATTAAAGTCAAGGTTTACATACCTTCATTTTCAGCATACCAAGTGTCATTCTGAACAAAGTCACTGAACCCTCATAAAAGAAGATGTCCCAAATTCTTAAAAGGATCTATAAAATTGAAAATACATAAAATTATGTCGACTCAGTAGGAGTTGAATCTTTATTTACAACAGACAATGGCAATGCAGGAGTTTTCCATGGTACAAACATAACTTTCAAAACTTGGAACTTGAAATAATCATGGTGGGCATAAATTTATTACAGATTCACTAATACTTTCCAAGAAATTAGCTTAACAAGTGTTTGAGGAAAACAAAAATGACAACATTTTCATTCACCTGTTTTTAATATCATTGCAAAATTGCAGGAATATTCCAGGAGTAGGCAAAGGAAAAAAGATTTCTGAATGAGTTTTCCAGGGCTTTGGAAGTAAATTTTGACACTCGTAGAGTTTCCACACAGTTTTGGAGGTGATGTCAATACTATTCAATATGGCTAAATGTAATTTAGACTAAGTTAAATGCGAAACAAGATTGCTGGCCAGCAGTCTCCCTCAGAGTGGGTACAGGGTGGCAGGGGAANTTCTGAACAAAGTCACTGAACCCTCATAAAAGAAGATGTCCCAAATTCTTAAAAGGATCTATAAAATTGAAAATACATAAAATTATGTCGACTCAGTAGGAGTTGAATCTTTATTTACAAAAGACAATGGCAATGCAGGAGTTTTCCATGGTACAAACATATAACTTTCAAAACTTGGAACTTGGAATAATCATGGTGTGCATAAATTTATTACAGATTCACTAATACTTTCCAAGTACAGTGAAACCCCGCTCTACGGACACCCGCTTAATACGGACACCCGCTTATAACAGACAGTTTTCTTTGTCCCGACAACTAAAAAGCTCATATATTTTCTTTTAAATTAGCTCGCTTAATACGGACACCCGGATAATGCGGACACTTTATCATGTCCCTTTGGTGTCCGTATTAACGGGGTTCCACTGTAATTAGCTTGACGTGTTTGAGGAAAACAAAAATGACAATAATTTCATTCACCTGTTTTTAATATCATTGCAACATTGCAGGAGTATTCCAGGAGTAGGCAAAGGAAAAAAAGATTTCTGAATGAGTTTTCCAGGGCTTTGGAAGTAAATTTTGACACTCAGAGTTTCCACACAGTTTTGGAGGTGATGTCAATATTATTCAATACGGCTAAATGTAATTTAGGCTAAGTTAAATGCGAAACAAGATTGCTGGCCAGCAGTCTCCCTCAGAGTGGGTACAGGGTGGCAGGGGAATTTGTACAGGGGCACCTTGATTCTACAGCTTGGCTTCAGATGTCAAATAAGCCTTTCTACCTCCTAACCCTTCTCGCTACTGAGAGATGCTTAAAAAAAATTAATACAGTGGCTATTGAAAGCTTGATAAAGGATGTGAGGTAAAATACATGTAGAACAACTCCGCAAATGTATGAATTCACTAGTTACTTGTACTGTACATTAACTTCCTTGTACACCTTCCGTTGTCGGTTTTATGATGCAAACATCACTGTGTCCACGAAATAGTCCACTTCTAGTTTCTTACTGTTGTCATCTTACCTTTGTGTGTACAACACTAGCAAATGCTGTCAAGAACCAGTGAAGGGTTATCAACGACAACTCTATGTCATGTTCTTTTAACTGCTCATCCATTGGTGGAAGATAACTCACTATCAGTTGTCGCAGCACTCTCTGATCAGCCTAAACATTTCAATGAAAATAAAATTAGAGCTTAGCTATTGAGTGAAGAAATTATCCTTGCAGCTGTAAGGTGTTGTAAAGGTAAAGGTAAAGTCTGCATGTGAGCCAAGTGGCCCATCAGGCCGGAGCTTATCCCGGTTTCTGCCGCATGAAGCGACTAGGAGTATTTCTACTCCCCCCTGGATGGGATGCTAGTCCATCGCAGGGTTACCCCCGGCATTAAGTTCGCCGGTGCCCATTTATACACCTGGGTGGAGAGAGGCACTGTGAGAGTAAAGTGTCTTGCCCAAGAACACAACACAATGTCCCCGGCCAGGGCTCGAACCCGGACTGCTCGATCCGGAGACGAGCGCACTAACCATGAGGCCACCGCGCCTCCCGTGTAAGGTGTTGTACAGGGTGCTATAGCCTACAGGTACATAGAACACATTGTGAGTAAACACCACATGATACCCAGTGTTCTTGCTCAGTTTTTAATTTTCCACTCAGAAATTCAGTGTGACGGTGCCTGGTGGCTGACTCTCACAGATGTCATGGCAACCTTCCGTGCTCGTTTGCAGCTTCCTCCAAGCTTTCAGGTATGTTCCCCACACCCATCTAATGGTGATGAGCTAATTGTTTGTATGAATTCTTACTACACATAAAATTCACATGTCATTTCATGGATGAAGCATACACATTAGTTATGTAATAAAATAAACAACAATAGTGCTTAAAGTGAACACTGCTTTCACTTTGCGCTAATTGATTTAGCAATCTTGGATGATCAGTGTCAACTATGTTCCATTTCAACTGACATTAGATCATTTTCTCTACCAACCTGGACACCAATCAAAGTACTTGAATAATAAGATGTAGGAACAAGGTCCTCCACAATAGTGCACATCAACCAAAAGGCATCCTCTTCCTCTACAAAGAGTAACAAGGATGCCACAATCTAGGGCCAAAATGAGGTAACTCATAGTTAGTACAAAACTACTAAATAAACATGTAAAATCCATAATCACATGCAAGTTCTCTGATAAAATAGTTCACGTTGATGAATATGTTTGAGAACAAATAAAGACAAGGGATGCCAGAAACATTTTGTCCAGAAACCTAACATATTCAATTTTGAAACAAATTTGTTCAACTTGAGTTGACTAATTAGACCATTTTACAGTTGTCTGTTCAGTGACCTGGCCTTTGAATAGCAGTGAGGCTGGAGGTGACCTTGTTTTGATAAAGACCTCACTGTTTTTGTTGTGTAAATCATGTTGTTCTCATGCTAGCTAGTTGATATTCAAATGAGAAAAGAAGAGAGGTCTGTATCAAAGCAAGGTCACCTCCAGCCTTGCCTGCATTCATAGGCCAGGTAACTAAGCACACAACAGTAAAATGGCCAATTGAACACAACATTCTACGACATTGTTCCCTTGGCTGATCTGCTCAGGGCAAATGGATGTACATGCATGTAATCAGATAGGGCATCTGCACATCCCTCCAACAACTCTCCTTGTGTGAACANCCCCCCCCCCCCAACTTCCACATCTTGACTGTCAATCTGCATGTAGGTGATGGTGGCCCTCTCTTACCATGCCCATTCCTTGACAGTAACCAATGTCTGTGTACAGCCAAGCCAGTGACCTAAGAATCCTTCTGAGTCGTAACAATCCTGTGCTTGTTGGTGATGAGAAACATGCGTTGTTGGGCATTGTCCGCAACAGATCCTGCAGAGACACAATTACTGGTTTATGGTTTCAATAAAGTTTTAGACTTTAGCAACAGCTCTCAGGGTCATGTCAATCAATATGTTAAATATCACTAACAGAAAAAACCTGTACATAATCTTGTATATCAACAACCTCCAACAAATGACAACAACCCATTAGGAAGTGATAACAACCTTAACTGATTCACAAGGAAACTTCAATAGAAAAAATTGGATTACAACATGAACAAACTTGAAATAGGGAGGTGAGAATTTAATTTACATGTAAACTTTGGCTCAGATTCCTTTAAAAACTTCAATTTCAAACATCTTCAGCTTAGTTGAGAGAGTAAATATTGATGCAGCGACAGCAATTTTGAAAAATAAATACAATAATTTCATTTACCTTTTCAATTTGCTTGGCTGTCAAAGAATTCTCATCAGCACTTGCTCGGACAATTTGCTGTATAACAATAAAAGGTATACAAGCACAATTAGCAGATTACTAGAGAGTTAAAATACATTTGGTAGAACTTGCAAGTAAAATAACAGAAACAAAATTATAATGCATGTGACAAGGACAATAGACCTCCAATAGACCTCTGCCAAGCGAGATGCCCGACATACAACCAGCCGACACACCTTTGCAGGTCAGCGAGAATGAGCCAAGTAAAGCAGAGATCAAGAGAGCCATCAGACAACTGAAAAATGGAAAAGCAGCTGTTCCTGATGGCATACCATCAGAAGCCATCAAGGCAGATTTAAACACCTTGACCAAGATGCTGTATGAGCTGTTTGGCAAGATCTGGGAAATGAACGAGATACCAGACGATTGGAAAGAAGGCTACCTAATTAAACTTCCAAAGAAGGGAGATCTGAAGGAATGTAAGAACTGGAGAGGCATCATGCTNGCTTGAAAGGATAGCCCAAAACAGACCAAGATGGCGAGCAATGGTTTCCGTGGACCTATGCTCCACTGGGAGCGAAAGGGTTTAATGATGATGATGATGATGATGACAAGGACAACACCCATGCTGTAGTTCAGATGTCTACATGTACAACTCAATTCAATAATTATTATTATTAGATAACAATTAAAAATAAAATAAGCACCTTTACTTCACCAAATGTACATTCAAGTAATTTGTTCTCTTTCTATATACCCACTCACCTATCCTGGAACAGGCTACCAGTTAGGACCCTACTATCAAACTTGTTAAAATATGTTTAATACACAAAGTAGCAACCCTTTACCTTGTAGGTAAAATCACTGCTGATTTTCTTTTGTAGGGCTCCTGAAATTCGCATCCAGATCTACCGAAAAATTAAATGTAATCAAAAAAATTATATGAAATGAAAGAGCCAAAACAAGTGTGTGAAACAAATTAATTAATCTTGACATCAACCTACAGAACAGTAAGTTTAATCTCATACTGAGTCAGTACTTACTGGAGCTCTCATGCTGTGAGGAATTCCAAGGTAAACAAGCTCTCGCAACTTGTCTGAATGAGGAAAGCTTGGAGACACCTGAGAAAAGTTCATTATTATATTCATATTTCTATAATCAGGGAAACCATACAAATTATGTGACTGTGTAGAAACACGTAGTGTGCTTAACATTCACTAAATCACAGGTCTATTTGCCATTGGGTTTACTGCTGAAATCAACCATCCAAAGGCATATGAATTTTGCTTTACATTATTCCGTTTTTTCATATTTGTTGTTATTTTTCAGTAGAGAATAAACAATTTATTATTATTTCTGTTACTGCCTAGCCCTCGTATCATATTTACAAATCTCAACCTAGCTGGAAAATGCACATAATATTGAAGAGTTACATTGTATTTTCCCTTGATTGTCATACAAACAAAACCAAAGCAATCACTCTAGAGGAGACTAAAGCTACAGTTATGAAACTTTACAGACCTTGTCCCAAGTCATATCACCAACATCTTGATTCTGTGTGAACTCTAAGAAAGCTGTCCATTTTAGCCTCAGGCCTTCATCCTCACTAGTGACAAAGCTACCAGGATCAGGGTCTTTGTGCTCAAATTCTAAATCTGCAATAAAGTTTGATAAAAACATAAAAGTTCCAAAACAGTTCTAGCACTGTCTTCAGAATTAAAAAAATAACAATGGTCATTCATAAACATGCAGGGTTTAGCAAATACAATTTGGGAGGTGTGTTTAAAAGTGGAGCTCCAGTAGCCCGAAGGTCCACAAAGCGGAGCACCATACCCATATAGGAAAGAAAAGAAAACGCATGAGTGGATTTTCTCATGGTTATCATGGCTAGCGGTATTGCTCATGGGCGTGTATGCATGACGGCAGCGGCAGAGTCGCCCAACATGGCGGCCATACTCTAGCTAATAGGTTGACAGAGATAAACAGCCTTGGTTTATAGCGCACTTCTTTGATATTGGACCACCAGGTTATGTTCAATTGACATATGTCATTACAAGGTATCTGCTAACATATCACCTGACCATACAGCGGGCTCAAGTTTAGAGCTTATTGAGATCACAGTTTTTTAAGTTGACCACTGACCAAGTGCTGGGTTTTGATTAGATTGCAGGCTCATGTCAGGTTAACTTGTTGTATAAATTTTTCTTGCATACAGAAAGTTTTTAGCTGCTTTTGTTTTGTGTAGTTTGAGATTATTCAAACTCAAAACAGAAGGCCAAACAATATAGACAGAAAACCTCCCTGAAAGTTACATAACTCAAAATTATCTAAAATTCTCCCTTATCCTGGGTTAGCTTAATAAATTTTGAGCTTTGAACAACTCAGCCCAGGAGTTCTGCTTTTAGGCTTGGCCAAATCTATATATAATTGTCTAAATTGTATAGTGGCTTTGCATGCACTGTACTTGAGGACAAAAGATTGACAGCTATTTGCCTCAGTAATACTGTCCTTTTTCTGAGGAAGTGTGTGTTTATTAGTTGCTATTATTATCCTATGAACCACTGGTACACTGGTACAGAAGTTTAACCTGCATATACAAGTTCTCTGAAAGAGTAAGGTTATCAAATATTACAGATACATCAGATTATGTACCTCCATCGATCATGAAGCCAAATTCATCATAATGTCCTGTTGGCCGATCCCCTGCATCTTCTGTCTGAGGAATTCAAATACATGCATTTTATTACTATTTCTAACAGTTGAACTCAAATTACAGCACACATTTGCAAACTTCATCGTGAAGTTAGCGATTTTATTGTAGACAAGGCTAGTATCAAATTTCCCAACAAACTTCAGAACACACATTACAGTATTTAAAGCAACCTGAAATTAACTGTAAAGGGGGCTGTATTGTAGATATGTTAAGCTTATAGGGAGGATTCTGGGCTATACAAATGAATGTATGTCAAAATTGAAAAGAAAAAGATCAGTGCTGTGTATGTACATGTATTTATTGAGAAAAAATAATTAATATGTAGTAGTTAAAAATTATAGAAAATTACATTATATGAACACATCTCACTCAAACTTCTTAGTTTGTCCACTTAGAGTGGTTTTTAATTCAGTATGCATCATAAAACCAAAACCAAGTTATCACTCTAGCCAATCACAAAGGACACAGACAATCCAACAAGTACATGTAGCTGATATAAAGTGTGAGAAAACATGTGCTGGTGAGTCATGACTGGTTTTGGTTTTACCTCTGACTGGATGACAAAGCGGTGCAAGCTTTCTAAACCAGTTGCATAGTGTAGTGATACAAAATCAAAGGAAATACTAATAAATCATTATTACTTTCAACACTCAAGTGAAATCCATTGTATTACTTGACTAGTAACAGTTAATTGTTTTCCATTCCCAAGAGTGGAAAAGCACAATTTGCCACATATGTAATGAAGCTTGGAGAAGGACTACTTAGATAGCAGTTAACATAGTTTTGAATATAATTATGCACCTGCTGAATTCTTGAAAGGATATCCTGTGGCCACATGCTGGGTGTGAGGGCAGAGAAGGGACCACCAATAGCTGGTACAAAGGAGCCTGTAACTGGAGTACCTCCACTAGCAACATGAATAGAGGAGTCATCCCACGCAAGGGTGTTATCATGGCCAGCATCGTCATCTTCATCTTCACTGAGGGTGGGAGCTACACATGATGAGCCAAATCATAAATTAGTAATATAATAATTGTATTTTCAATTGATAATCAAAATTCAAAAGATTAACCAACAAATTAATGATCATTGCCGTGTAACAGATACATAATATTTTCAGGTGTGANTATCCAACCTTCCTGGGTAGACGTCACAAGAGCCGCTGGACCCATTCTCCTCAAACTCGGTCGTGAAACAAAATGGCGGTGTTTTGGAGCTATTTTCGATATTTCGTCGTGGCACAGAAAATCGAGGATTTAACGGAATTCAAAAATTTTTTCGCAGAACTATTTCAAATAATAAGTAGATTCATTCTAGTGAAAAAAATTTTGGGGGTTAGGTGCACTTTAACACTATTAACCCTTTGAGCCCCAATTACACACACATGCGTAATTAGTGGTCGTGCTCTTTGTACCACTTGTGACGTCATCAATTTAAATATCATCAGATATTCTTGATAAGTAGATAGTAGTACTAGGCTAGGCCTTTCCATACAATGGTCAGGTTTAAATATCAACGACATTCCGACGTCGCAAATCGAAAGTCCAAATTTTGGCTTATGCACATGCCCGGGATTGAAATATTGCTCAATTTTGTACCTAATCGTCGAAAAATCTCTCCTTTTAGAAAAAAAGCTTAGCAAAACTTAGGCTTATTTAGTGTCATGGCAGCTAAAAAACCTGACTAAACGGTTAAAAACGGTTTTTTTTGGTGAAAGTTTGGTATTCAAAGGGTTAAAAATAAATTGATTAGTAAGTAAGTCTTCATAAAAACTTTCAGCTTTCAGGGATTTTGGCAGAAAATAGTTTTCTGAAGACATTTTCAATCGACTGAAACTATATTTCAACCACCCATATAAAAAATAACGCACTCACCAGCTTTAAAAGTTTGACCCTGTGCCTGTTTCAAAACTGAAAAGGAGAGGCCAAATTGTTTTATAATTCTACTTGTTAAAAATTAATTTTACGTGCTTCAAAATGATTTTTTTTGGAGTTAGGCAAGACGCTCTTTTACATTTGAGGAGTCGAACTCAACGATTTTTGAAGATACCCAGCGCATAATTCAGGAAATAGCAAGCAAGTACACGAACATGAAAGTGATCAAAACAAAGAAGATTACAAGCAATTCAGAAAGGTTTATTACATTCAAACATGCAAGTGAATGACTTCCATTTTTTGGGCTCATGATTTATTAATGAATTTAATCTGGGCAAGCGGGTAAGTGCCCCAGGCAAGCAAAATTTGAGAGTTACTTGCCCAAAGGGCAAGCTGGAATTCAAATATTTTCCGAGCCCTAAATTGTATGTCCTTTTAACCTTTTGACTACCAAATTTTCACACAAAAAATGCCATTTTTAACTGTTAAATCAGTTTCTTGGCTACCATGACGCTAAATGGACCTTAGTTTTGCTAAGAAATCTATTTTCTTATCAAAAAGATAGATTTCCCCAAGATTAGGTACCAAAATGTACAATATTTTAATTTGGCACAGGTGCATAAGCCAAAATTTGAACTTTTTGCACATTCCTAATTTTTTTTCTTGTCCCTTTCCTTTCCTTTTTCCTGGCCCTTTTACTCTCGCTACATTTTGCGTTTCATATGCTTTCTGGCTGCCATAAAAAGTTGGGTGTTAATTATGGGCAAAGCCTGGAAATGGGACCTTGTTCAATTACAGGTATAATGGGCCATTTTACCACCATTTTTGCATCAAAACTGATAACGTTGTTTTTCAATTTGCTATGTCAGAATGCTGTCGATATCCAAAACAGTCTGTTGTGCGGATAGATCTATTCTATCTGTTTATCAAGAGTGACATTTAAATTGATGACGTCACAAGAAGTACAAAGAGCAGTGCCAACCACTCAGGGCGTCTATATGCGCCGTTGGCAGTCAAAGGGTTAAAATAAACGGCTCAGAGTTGCTAAGAGTCATAACAGCACTGTGTGTTTGTCAGCAAATCTTTTATGTTACCCTTTTCAGTTGTGATTCATACAAGTAAAAATTACTTAAAGCAGAAATGGCACATACAACGTACTTGTAAGGGGTGGAACAAGTCATTTCAAGGGGACTTTTCTTAGTATATTCAATTTCACATTCAAGCACTGTTTCCAACTTATTTGATTCAAAAGTTCAGCATTTATTTCCACATTATTGGTAGTCAAATAGAAAACCTAAAGGGTAAGCCTAAAGCTCAGCACCATCAAACATATAAACACAACAGCTACACTGTATTTGTGCAAAGACATGAAATTCAAGTAAGCCTATCTCTCTCACACAATCTGTAGTGTCACTGGGATATTACAAGAGAAACAGAGATATCAGAAGAAAGAGAGTGACTATTGGTTGCACATGGCATTGAACTTCTTCAAGCCATGTTTTCAACTTTTGTGGGGATACACATTGCTCATTTGCAGTAAGATCTGATGTGTTTCTCACTGAGCATGAATTTGTCCGATACCTGATTAAGTGCAACAGTCACTCCAGACCTGAAGCTTCCATTTAAAAAAGTTTAAATCCAGCATATTTTTCCAATGCCACAGACTAAGTTGTCACAGCAAGATGGCGGATCGCAAAAAAAAAGTGTCTAGTTCCCAGTGCTCCTCGCCTCATTCAAGATAATTCGCAAACCTTTAGCAGAGTTGTCACAACTTTTGATAGTAAAGGTTGCATTGTGCTTATTAAGGGTTGCAAGACATGAAGGTCCCTACCACCCTAGAGGATCTGGGGGTATGTCCCCCCAGAAATTTTTGAGATTATAGACTATCGGAAAAGTACTATTCAGCATTTTGTGATGAACGCAAACCCAGCAGAACTATTTCATGCTGTTATCCAAGAAAATGGCAAGCTCCAGGTAGCCCAACGCAGGAATGGGATATGCCATTTTTCTCAGCACCCCCGTCCTGTCTCTCTCTCCCTATGGAGGGATGGATTCTGACACCCCAAGTTTTGGTTGCTGGCACCTTTGATGTTTACATAAGGGTCAAAATTTTGTTTGCTTTGAAAAAATATTCTGGCTGGACCTGTGCCTTTCCCAGGAATTGGGGGGAAGGGGTTGCAGATAGAAAAGTGGAATGTCCCAATATGGCCTAACAGCTTTACTGAAAAGCACAATAGACAGTTTCTGATGTTGTGTGCTTCTGCGACTGTGCTTCAACACAGTAGCATTTTGCAGTTGCTATGACACCATCTTCAAGACACATGGAAGAATAATCCAGTCCCAAGATGAGTTTTGACATAAAGAAATTCTGACAAGAGGTTTACATTTGAGTGGTCAAATGAGGTTTGATTGGTTAGATTACAATAATCACATTAGTTTTGACTAGAGCAGTATGATTACAGTACTTTATGTTTAAAAATGACGCCCACTTTCAAAACTACAAAACAGTATAATATTGCTAACTACAAGTACATATGAACGTTTATCTGAATATTATGAATATTAAGCTTACATGACATGTAAGCTTACTATTTGATTAAAATTAAGAGGGAAATCTCGATATTGTCAGGGTACTTCCGTGGATGGCAAAACGTTAGGAATTATCATAGTTACTTACAAGAATGAAATAATTGTTTTCCGGCAAATAACCAGTGTTAAAAAAGTAAAGTACACTATTCAAAAGGGCACAAAACGACAGAGCATCTGCTTGGCTTCGCTATACATGTTCGCACAAAAATTGTCAAAATGTTGTCAACAACATATTGATTCCGAGTGATTTTCAATTTGCCCCCAACGACAGAATATTTGCCTTTTACGAATTATTGGTCTCCTAATCCTCGTAAATTCATTCTATACGCCTGAAAAGATTCTCTGATCTTCGCTGAGCTCACCCATTATTTATTTATAGCTCCATATGATCGAATACAGAGACGAACAAAGCTATCAATTTGAAAGCAGCTATGACCGTTAAAGAGATTTGAAACGATTCTCAGCAACCTACCTTTTATGCTATACATGCTGTATCCCTCGGATGATTTTCGTTCGCTGCCACTAAACACCTGCCTGGCCAACTCCATTTCTAGGAGAAACTTTGCAAAATACAGGCCTTTGACAATACACAAGAGACCAAAACACAACCATGTTCAAAATGGCGGCGCTTAGATTGAACACTTCCGTGACGTCATCAACTCCAGCCAATCATATTTTCCCGCGAAGAAAAACAGATTTTCACTGTGTTTACGTGGCCAAAGCACACAACAGGATCAAGAAGAAAACTTCACGAATTAGGATAGGAAATTAAATAATTTCGAGTGTAATTTGGAATAAATAAGCAAAACTAAATTTTTCAAAACTGTAAAATAAATGGCACAAGCCCATAGGGCAAGTGCAGTTTGTAGTCTTTGAAAAGTAAAGAGTGACTATTTATTCCAAATTGCACGAGAAAAAATCATTTGATTACTTGTTAATAATATACACGCAATTAAATTTCAACTTTCTACACTCAATTTCAACTTTCTGCCCTCAGTTTCAACTTTCTGCACTTCTCAGGATTAAAACTGACATGCTCTCAGCCAATCAGCATGCTAAAATTTTGCATGTACTGTTATTAATTAAGGAAACAGAAATGGTGTAACTCGTCTGTTGATTATCCTGATAAAACACCGACGAAAAATTACAATATTTGCTGGTGGCATCTATCAGATAAATTTTTGTGACTTGGTGAGTAAGAAACTCATAAGGGACCATTTCTGGGGGTTTACAATGGTTATGAATATAGGAAGGTGTAAAAGTTTTCAGAGAAATATTTTAAAGTGAGTGTTGTTTCATTAAAACAGATGGCTAGGACAAAAGGGAAGTAAAAAGGAAAGGCTTTTTGTAAAACCCTGTCTCCATTGTGATTGTCAAATTATCATAATAATGATCCAGTTAAAAATTGTTGTCAGAAACCAAGAAAGCATGTAAAAATTAGTCAGAAAGTAAACAATTGCAATTTTGAGATGCTTCATTAAGTCTTTGAAAAGCAAAAAAAGTTTCCAAGTTATTTCCTAAAGGAAATTGAAGGATAATACATCGTTTATATATTTCAAAATTTTATAAAGAAAAAGAAAATTATAAACATATAAAAGCATTTCCTGTTGCTGACAGTAACATGCTATAATTTTGTAAACCTTCAGTTACATCACACAATCTCAAACACATTCAAGTTACCATATTTTCTCGATTAAACGCCAGTTCTCGAATGAATGGCAGGTCTCCCACGTAGGTTCATAAATAAGACCCTCAAGGAATTTATATTCCAGATATAGTAAGCCTTAGGTATAATTATAAGATATTTTAAAGCTCTAAAAAAAATGAATAATAACTCTAATAAACTCCAGGTTCAAATAAACTGCAAAAGTCAATAAACACCTGATCTGCAAGTCAAGTTTAAACAAAAACCGGGGGCGTTTAATCGAGAAAATACAGTACATCACACTTTTATGTTGGCTTCTGCTTTTATTAACACACAATTTCATATTAATTATTTTATATCATATCAAATATTATATTAATTAAAGAATGTTGTGACCCTTTTATAGATCACAACAAAATTAGAAAGTTAACCAAGCTTGGAACGATTCAATTGGACAGCATAAGCATAAAAATTCAAAAACATATGGAAACATTTTGGATATGGACCACAGGATAACCAAGAAACACCAGGAGATACCACAGGAAATGAAAGGTGCCCACTACTGGTCAGGCTGGCAAGGTACCACAAGTATAAGAATTAATAAGTTATGAACACATTATAAATGACCAGTGTCTCAAAGGCTTAATAATTCATCTAGTTGAAAAAAAGAAACAAAGAAATTGTGACTGTACTCTGATATATCTAACAGACATACCAATGCCATCGTTTGTTAAACATACATCAAAGTCTACCAGTAAATGCCAACTTTAGTCGCTAAAAATATAGCAAATAGTTTAAACTTGTTTTGAAGATTTTTCTGCTATGATTTAAACCCAGTGTTCCTTTATCTCAGAACTAAAAAATTAAAATTAGAACAAGCTGAAGTCCAGAGATGAAGAATACCTGGTGTAGTAAAGTTATGGAGTAAATGGTTGCCTAACACATCATTATGTAGAGATGATTTATGCACACCACGATAATGAAAGGAACAACATTCCCCCCCCCCCCCAAAAAAAAAATGGTTTAATCAGCAGAACAATTGCTATGTTCTGTTGTTATGAATCTTGGTCCATTTCTAGCCCATCCTGTGACAAACAATGCCTCGATATGACCAAATAAATTGTATGTTTGCTGGAGAACATGGGCCACCATGTGCAGTAAATTGTTATATTTCGGATTTAAACTGAAGGTTTTCTTTATTATCTAGTGAAGAATAGCCTGCATAGCAGACATTTCCTTTCTATTTCCCAGGCAGGGAGATCAAGCAAGCAGCAAGGGAGCAAGCGAACAAGCGCACCTAGGGTGAGCAAAAAATGGGGAGAAGTGGGCCCCACCCCCTTTTCCTTATTTTTTAGCACTCATTTGCAGTTGCATTTCCTCTGAGTGCTTTTGGAAACAACTGCTATGCAGAATAGTTCAAACACTGGTAGACACCCACAATGGATCAAAGGATTTGCAAAAATCTCCAGTAGAATGTAAAATAATTATCTTTTCAATGCTGTCCTCTGCTTTGCCGCCATGGTTGTGAAAACTGTTGAAAGTTTGTCTGCCCATAACATTACATTTGAGAATCTGGTTGTATCTTGCTTCTGCAGGACACGTTCATACTTGAATACCATAATACCAGAGTATGAGAGGAATGGGCTGAACAAGTTGAGAACTCTCATGAATTCTTTAAATTTTTACAGTTGCTTGTCAAACAAATTTATTATGTCTATAAATGGGGTAGTTTTTAAGTGGAATACAGCATTTAAGGCTCCATTGAGTATAAGGCTGTATGATCGTTGATTCTCATGACCAAGCCTTGTGCCTGCCTTGGAAAAATGAACTTCTTGGAAACAGTTTATCCTGTACAAATTAGCATATATCACTCTCTTGTCACTGTCTTTTAATGTCCTGTTGTTTTGAAATCTCCGCATCCTCAAGAAGCTCCCATTCTTCTACTTCTTCTTTAGAAGCAGGTAAAAAGAAAATAATATAAGTCAAGATGACCATGGTTATGAAACCTATGTATATGGGTCTATTTGATGTCTTCTCATTCATATCTCCCAGGGTTTGGTTAAGTGTCAGACGCCGTGCCTTTGATGTAGAGAAACGTATAGGCTTGTCTTTGAGATCTTTGTATGATTCTGAGGTTCCTTTGGCCGGGCTACAGTATGTCCTATGAGCAGCTTGTAGGCTATAATGGAAATGGAGTCAACGCATTCATTGAAGTAGAATAAACCTTTTTAGCTTGGGCAGCATGTTGCCCCTTTCAGACCATGTGATGATACTTCTGAAAATTCTTGATTTCAAATTGTTGAATAGTCACATTTATATGAATGAATGATTTTTGAATGGATAGCAAACGATTCTCTAGAAAATATCACGTGGTCTGTTATGAGAAAACAAACTGCCCAAGCTAAAAAGATCTATTCATACCTAAGCAAAATTACAATGCACATACCAGTGTTCTAGTAATAATATTGATCAATAATAATTAATAAATATTTTAAATATTTAAATGTGAGGGACACCAAATTTAGGCTGGCGTCTGGCTTTGAGCCTGACCCATTGAACTCAATCTCATGCCAGGGTCTTAGGCAAGAAACACATCTCACAGTGCATTGGAGGCATAATCTCATCACCAGATCTCCTTTTAGATGAAGCAGAAGGCCAATATGAAGCCTTAACTCAGCCTTTCACAATTTTGCTTTCTTCAAACACTCTTTCTAGTATAAGAGCACCTGGATTCTTAAAGAGAGGACCCTACTAGCTTACTGTCATGATTTGGGGAAATGAAATTTTGATATCTGAGATCTGTGATTTGCTATTTTTCTCAGTTCCTGAACTGTGCAAGAGACAACCTGGGCTAAAACCCTCAATGCACAACCCTCAATACCCCTGTACAACCCTCAGTACAGCCCACATCCCTTCTGGCATAGCTTTCTAATGTAAATAATATTCTTATCTACTATCATGGACAAATGTCTTGGGACAAATTTGCACTTGTGATGCTTCTTCACAACTGCCAAACAAACAGTCACACATCAATCCAACTACACTTGCTCAGCCCCCTCCCCTCACCCCCACCACACCTAAAATGTTGGACACACGTACCTATAATTTCTGAGCTACACTGTATCGGGTTTTTGAAAGGATAGCAGTGCTTTTTCAAACTCCAGTTGTGAAACACAACAGATAATTAATGCACTAGTCATTTGAAACCCCTGCATTCCCCTACTGGAAGAAACCCGGGCAAACCGGGGGTTTTTACCTCCTTTTCACTCAATTTAGGTTCCCCAGTAGTCTGGTAATGCACCTTTTTTCACAGCTTCGCTATACAGTGCAGGATGAGCAGGGGTTTGGCAGGGATTTATGACCTCTTTTAGAAGACTGGGTTTAACTTGCATGTTTGCAGAAAACATGGAGGCAAGGAGGCTGAACAAATGCTTTGACTTGACTTCAGTGGTATGAAAAAAATCCTGTGAAAGTTCCAGTTGTCAAAAAAAATTATACAGTAGAACCTCGATTTAACGAAGTCGCTGGGGACTAGCCAAATTTGTTCTTTAAATCGAGGGTTCGTTATATCAAAAACCTCGATATAACAAATTTGAGGGGAAACGACCAAAATGTTCGTTATATCGAGGTCATAGTTAATGATTGATTTGTAACACAGGNGTTCTTTAAATCGAGGGTTCGTTATATCAAAAACCTCGATATAACAAATTTGAGGGGAAACGACCAAAATGTTCGTTATATCGAGGTCATAGTTAATGATTGATTTGTAACACAGGTGACGTCTGTCACGCAATTCAATATAATTTTCGTCACCCAGAAGTGCTGCATTTTGAGATGCAATTCATAAAGCGTGGTGGCTTTCAATATCAATTATTTTCACTTTTAAGCGGACGTGCAGCTTTTGTTTGCAAAAGAACGACACTTTCAGAGTAGCAATTTAAAAATGTTGCAACATAGAGGTTATGCCGTAAGGATTACAAGGATTTGTTGACTGTTGATCTGTTCAGCGTTTATCTTCTGTCACGTGATGACATTGTAGTTTGCTATATCAAGGTAGATTTTATGTTTGGGCTTCAAGGTTATGTTCGTTAAATCGAAGAATTCGTTATATTGAGGTTTGTTATATCGAGGTTCTATTCCATACATTTTACTATAACTTTGGCCGGGACATAGAATATCGTTTGTTATATTGAGGACTTCGTTAAATAGAGGTTCATTAAATCAAGGTTCCACTGTAATCTATTTAATGAAATGTACTTCATGTTTAGAGGGCAGGTGAGTTCACTCGCACGACGGGGCTTTCACTGCATGAGGTGAGGGGGGAGGCACGGGGGTTTCAAATGACTGGTGCATAATGGAATTAAATCAGTGTCCCAAGTGCNAGGGGAAACGACCAAAATGTTCGTTATATCGAGGTCATAGTTAATGATTGATTTGTAACACAGGTGACTTCTGTCACGCAATTCAATATAATTTTCGTCACCCAGAAGTGCTACATTTTGAGATGCAATTCATAAAGCGTGGTGGCTTTCAATATCAATTATTTTCACTTTTAAGCAGACGTGCAGCTTTTGTTTACAAAAGAATGACACTTTCAGAGTAGCGATTTAAAAATGTTGCAACATAGAGGTTATGCCATAAGGATTACAAGGATTTGTTGACTGTTGATCTGTTCAGCGTTTATCTTCTGTCATGTGATGACATTGTAATTTGCTATATCAAGGTAGATTTTACGTTTGGGCTTCAAGGTTATGTTCGTTAAATCAAAGAATTCGTTATATCGAGGTTTGTTATATCAAGGTTCTATTCCATACATTTTACTATAACTTTGGCCGGGACATAGAATATCGTTTGTTATATTGAGGACTTCGTTAAATAGAGGTTCATTAAATCAAGGTTCCACTGTAATCTATTTAATGAAATGTACTTCATGTTTAGAGGGCAGGTGAGTTCACTCGCACGACGGGGCTTTCACTGCATGAGGTGAGGGGGGAGGCACGGGGGTTTCAAATGACTGGTGCATAATGGAATTAAATCAGTGTCCCAAGTGCTTTTGTCCCCCATTGTCGGTGGGATCGCAGTTGGGCCGATATAGGTGGGATTGCACATTTACTGGAGAACCTAGGCGGCCCGAATCCGCCAGAAATGCACCTCGAAATACTGTAAATGTAATTTTCGCGAACGAGGACAGCTACTGTCCTTCTCATTACATAACCAACATATACATCGATAATAAACCTTGGTGTAAATATGGGCAAAAAAATGAACGTACCCTCGGAGAGCTAAAATAGATTTTACCACCTTAGCTTACCTCGGTAACTGAGAACTGCGTAAACCTGCTGATATCAAGCAACACTTGGGTCGCAAACTCTTCGATATCCTAAGAGCGGCCATGCTCTGAAAGTAGCTTCTGGTGTCATGTTAGAACCAATGAAACATGACATCGTTGTTGCTGTGGCTACAAGCTCGCGAAGAACTCTGGGAAAGATTTGCGTTGTCAGAATGTTCACGGAAAATGTCCAGGGGAAAATTTAATTAACTTTGCAGGTGAAATACAGAAAATTTTTGGCGCAACTGTCCCACTCAAATTTGACTGATCCAAAATGTTTCACTTGGCTGATGTTTGGTTTATTACATATACGGCTCATAATATTTTAGAACAGAAGCTTATCACAGTTCAGAAATAGTCTTATATTAAGCCTTATCACCACAGTAAGTGAATCAGTTTGTAACATAGTCGGAAGTCCATTGATCTTGATCAAAGATTACTTCTCAGCTTGGTCAGGCTTCTCTAACAAGTCACCTATTTACATTCCTGGGAGGAGAGAGAATTGTATCTCGCTCAAGAACATTGAGCTCGGCAGACTCGTAACCAGGGCAGCTCCGATTCAAAGTTCAGTGCGCTACCGATTAATCCACTGCATCTCTCAGAATATTTAATTAGTAGGTGGGCTGAACGTTAAAGACTTATGCCCATCTTTCCTAACTTGAGTTTCAGACCTTCTAAAGAGAAAGCCTCAGTTGACACTTTTCTTTTCTTTCTTTTCCTTCTCCCCCTCTCCCTTCCCCACACCCTCGCCAGTCGGAAATTCAGGATAAATCTATCCTACATTATCCTTGGGGACCCAAGGGCAGATACTCAGTAGTCAGGAGTAAGTCAACTGGGCGAAAGCGATGCGAACAACGAGTTCAAGTTTACAAGATATCCCCTAGGAAGCACCGCGGCCCTGAGACGAAGCCTCTCTAATTGGGCCTAAAAAAATTGTGCCCAATCTTAAGCCAGCATCTATCGCGCTACTTTCGTGATCTTCTTACACGAATGGTTGATCAAGAGCTCAGTTGATCGCCCTTAAGTCATGCTTTTCGGGCTGGTGCCAGAGAGCAATTTCAGTGACAAGGGGATTTCTCGATCGCATCAATTTCCCTGTTTGACGTCCTCCTGACCTGAATATCTGTTCCTGGGTCTTCGAGGATAACCCCTCAGTAAAGCCGTACCTGCAGTCCAATTTGGCGCAACTCCTTGTTTTACATATGGAAACACTTACACAACTCACTCTAATTGATGATAGTCAATAACCGTAAACGCCCCGCTCTTGTTAGCCTAACCTAAACTAGATCTTTAAAACGCCATTCCATCAGGAAGCCACTCAATCAAGCTTCTGAAGTTTCTTTCTCTTTTTATCCAGATTTATTTTTAGACTTTTCATTAACCTAGAATTGAGCACTTGGAGTTTACGGCATCTTTCCAGTGGTTTGTTGTCGCTATTTTATTTTACTTTACTTTATTTTATTTTATTATTTTATACACATTTTCAGTCGAGTAACAAATCCCTTATCACCTGGCCATGGCCAAGCTTGCTCAGGACCGTACTGGGAGAATATCGGCCCTTATGATCCATCAAATATTTTCGGTCGCGCACGATTGGTCTTAACCCGTCACATGACTGATTATTTCTCAGGTGAAACTGGGGAATATCCGAGTGATATTGCCAATTTTCAAAACTGCGCGGGTTTGGAGGATAATTAACACAATAGCCTCTATTTGCGGACAAATATCCGTGCATATTTGCGCGCCAAATCATGGCCAAATGGAGGCTAATGTTGTATATTGGTCTAAACTGTAAGAAACTCGGAACTCAGTACAGTAGAACATATGGGCCATTGTCATCACTAACCTCCTACCCTAACCACAATACCCCGACCAACGCAGGTTATCGATCCAGGTCAACTAGCAACTCAGTTCTCCTTCTCACAATCCATGATAAATGGGAGTTGATTTTGGCGCAACATTTACCCTTAGTAGTAATATACTTTATTTACCCTCGGATTGTAGAGTACCTTTATCAACTAATGTCTCCGAACATTTCAACAGCACAATGGGCAAAGACCAGACCACAACACCAGGAACTTCGTGCCCTGCTCTTTACGATGAGCGCACGGGTCCTTTAACGTCCCCTGTTGACCATAACAGTGAAGATGCAGGAGACGGGGCCTACGGTTTATCGTCCTTATCCGAGAAGACTAGAATATCTAACCATTTGCAGATGTCAYTGCAAAGGCAGCATATTCTCCTCAGTTATTTTAAGACCCTGAGTGTTGGTCCGGTCTGGGGCTCGAACCCGAGACCTCCCGCACGGTAGTCCGACGCTCTACCAACTGAGCTAACTGGTCGGTCGTCCCTTCGTTTAAATATCAAAAGCTATCTGCAAAACATTTTCCTTTCCTGAGGGTAACAATCCTGAGGGTAACAATAGATTCCGAATTGGTGCAAACAGAACTAACTGTTCAGTTGCTGGCAGCCGGCTATGTAAGGTATTAGTATCGGTGTTCGTAAAGGTAGCAAAGGGAGGATTGTAATCCCGTTTCACGCAACGAATTCATGTCTTTCAGTTGCTTTTCACGCGTCACACACTTATGTTTGCCCTTATCACGGAGTTCGAATGTGCACAAAAGTCTTAAAGAATGTATTTCTTGGGTGGTACTTAGCTTGTTTCCAACAGAGTTACAAGATGTGCCTCGACAAGTACTACAGAATGGTGTCGCTAAGATTCTATACTGATACAGTCGTTTTGAGCAGTCGCGTTTCGAAGTTTAAAAACTTTATTAAACGGCCAGTGCTAACTCAGGACAACCGGGCGAAAATAGCGCGCCGGCCGCGCAAACTGGAAAAATAGTTAGTTGAGAACAATTTTTGTTTCCGCGCAAAAAGAGGCGCCATAACAGATTAACAATTTCCTTCTCGTTAATGAAGTGTCAAGTAACCTGGCTGTGAATGGCAAGCGTGTTATCTTTCACACGCTCAAACACGTCTTGAGGAAATTGAGAAACGTTTGTTATAAAAACAAACTCAACAATCATTGTGCACTCATTTAAAATAATCATTCTTTTCCCACATTCAATCAATCCTATTTATGGCGGACAAAGGTCGTTTGAAGTTCCCCGATCTGTTAAGCTCCATAAAAAGCTGTCTTCACCGAAGACGAACCAAAGTTGCCGACAGTTTATTTATTGTTTAATTAAAACACTTGACTTCGAAAAGGTCGTGTTTTTGCGCGACCTCTGAAAGGCAAATCGAGTTTATGAAAACAGCTTTTTAAATTATCGGCACGAAAAAGCTGTTCACCTCGACAGAAAAGTGAAGAAATATGGCTTTTACTAGTCGCTGATTTTCGTGATGTGAGACCAGACTCCATGAAGTGCTGACTGAAAACACGCACGAACGCGATGTTTTCACTCTTGTATCAGCGTGGGTGATTTTGAGTGTAAATATCCTGCTTTAAAACTATCCGGGTTCTCACGCTTCTCCGTTCGTGATTTCCCACCGAGCCAGTTGAGAAAACAAGCTAGGTGTTTTTTTTTTTTGTTTTTTTTTTTGCACAATTGACTAGTATTACAGGAAAAATCGTAAGGCGAGAACCATCGCAATCTGCTATATAGGGCCGCCATACCAAGTCTTATTGACTTCCGACTTATCTGGATCATAATCAAAACCTCAATAAGATACTAAACTCATACAAATAGCAATATTCTAATCTAATCTAACATAGTTCAGCGGCCTGGCACAAATGTTTCTCTATTCAAACCAACTTCATGGCGCCAAACGCTATCAAACAGATCGCAAATATCAAATTGGTCTAATTTAATTGTCGAGTTCATTTCCTAACCTCTCATTTCTGCCAAAAGAACCAAAAGAAAGCGAAGATTAACCATGGCAGAAATAAAGATTGTGGTATTTTCTTGCGCGCTAAGACAAGACTTAAACGTTCACACACTAAGACGGAGATTTGGTGATTGCCATAAGAAGATTTGCTGGAGTTTACATTTTTCGCGGCGCCAAACTAAACAAAGAAATGAAACGAGCCTTAAATGCTTACAAATGACTTAAAACAAACTTCCCGTGTAAATATTTATCCATCTGCAGACCAGAGATAATGGAGCAAGGCCCATAAAATGGCTTTTCGATCGGGCAGATGATGTTTTCGACAGAACACGAGTCAAAGAAGCACATTCTCTGTTCGGCACGATGGGTTTATAACTGGACAGCGAGTTGGTTGAATTGAGAGCGCCGTTTAAGAATGCAAATTTTCGCACTATCAGTGATAGGAATTTGAGCAAATAATCACAAATTTGCTAATCCGAGCTCAAACTACCGTCCATGCATAAAACAATAGCCCTACTAACTTCAACTGTTTGCTGTGTGGTCTTAAAAACACTTAAACGTGTACTGTAAACAAACAGTACGACACCGGTCTGAGGACAGAGCTAGCTTGGGTGGTCTAAGGGCGTTCCCGAGCCCATATCCGCTGAAATACCACAAAGAAAATTTGCGTTACGCGACCGAGTGAGCGCAAAACCAGGAGACGAGAAGTGAGCTTCACTGCTCGGACTTCGACATGTACAGTACATTCGCTCCGATGAGATTTGCTCCGTACACACCACTGGCTATGCCAACCCAGAGATTTCAACAGCAAGCCCCCGAGGCGCTGTGCTCGTGTTGTTTTTACAATTCAAGCTGCTGTTATTCGAATTACGGTTCGGGATTTGGGTTGTATGGATGTGCTGAAGTGCTTCCAAAGCCTCCGTATTCGTACGTGGCTCTCATATCCATGGCTATCAAGAGCTCCCCCGAGAAAAAAGTCACATTGAGCGGGATTTACCAATTTATTATGCTGAATTTTCCGTACTACCAGCAGAGCAGAAGAGGCTGGCAAAACAGCATCAGACACAATCTCTCGCTAAACAAATGCTTTGTGAAAATTCCCCGAGACAAATCAGATCCAGGAAAAGGCTGTTACTGGGCGCTAGATTCGTCCTTTGAGGAAATGTTTGAAGAAGGACGATTTTGGAGAAGAAAGCGCAGGCCAAAACACACCGGGCAAGCGAGAGACCCACAGGACGAAATATCGACAAACCCAACCAGGGAAGACGAACGAACTGCAGAGAAAGATGCACAGAAAGCTGACGGCACAAAGTCTCGTACCGAAAACGAAGACAGGAAGCTAAAGACTTCCGACAATGAGCTTTATCGTGTAAATTCTTCGGAGTTGTCAAGCGTAATGACTGGACAAGGACGATGTTTTTCACAACAAAGACACTCTACCTACCCCGGCGAGCAGAAGCTAACCACGGCTATCAATCAGAGTGTTCTCGGTGCAAAACGCAATTCGCCAGCTTGTGGTTTGAAATTCAGCATCGAGAGTCTCCTTAACCGATGAGTCTTACATTCAACTCGGGAACTAGAACAGTTTACTTTTATTGAAAGAAAATGGAAAGAACTGATCGAGATGAGCAGTGACTGTCTAGTCAGCCGGTGATGAGTGCGAACGGTGAAGTAATTATGGCTTCTCGTTTCTTTGAAAACACGATCGAGACAGACAGATTCCAGAACAAGCAGCAGCCAGAATAAATACCACTTTTTAAACTGATAAATAGCTCTGCATACCGAGACAGCAAGTCAGACTTAAAAACTTCTTGTTTAGACAGCTTAATGTTATTATTAGTTTCGGACATTTGGCCTCTCTCCCGATTGGGAACACTTTTATTAGGAAAGTCAGTACCGTGTTATTAAACCTTGTGTTGACGTGTTCACAATTTCTGGTTAATATATTGTCGTAAATGTGTGGGAATTGCGGTCAGAAGAGGCAGATTTTGGTTTTAGTTCGAATAGTGGTTGTCATCAAAGCACTCGGCAGTCGAGGGCCTTCTTGCAATGGGATCCTATTTATTTAGAATAGCTTCGACATCCTCGTATCTCTGCTCGAGTTAAACAAAATATTTTACAATCAAATGGTTGTTCATGAGTTATCTATAATGTGTGGCAGATTGAAAAAGTAAACAAAATAACTACAACACAAATCACCGCCAAAGAATACCGAAATATCTGAAACGAAACTTTACGGATAGCGCGACATAACAATAGCAGAAAATACAAAGATTCGTCACAGAAACTTTCAAAACACACTCATTATTTACTCTATAATGATAAGCAACTGAAATAAATGTAAAATCAGTCTGTTTTATGGTAATTTAATTGCACTACACTGTCCTCAGTTATGTAAAAATAAAAAACGCTACTTAGCTACCAAATGTTACCTTTACCGTTCTTTTGAGTTATTTGTTGAAGCGTTTATTAGTTGAATTTACAGAGATGCAAATTAATCGTCCCTGATTTTCATTGCCGAACAAAACAACAAATGTAGAAACATTGCAGGAACTATAAAAATCTGCAAAGGGGTTGGAGTAGCCCGCTATAAAGACGATTCCTTAGGTGTCGACCTAGAAAACACAAATTTTAGACACAACACAGAGATGCCTTTGTTTTACGAAATACCTGCAAACAAATTTCAAATCGTAGCTATTCTAAAGATAAACTAATTCTTTTTACAGCCTTCTCAGTAATCTTCATCTTCTCGGAGCGTACCGGAGGTTTTAGCATTGATTTAGCAGTATGCATGCGAAGGGATAGGCTCGATTTCCGCCGCTCTCTTGGGTCCCCGTTGGTGAGCGCGGGCTCATTTCCCGAAACAGCGGCTGGTAATCGAGCTTAGCGAAGGGACTGTATCCATTCTCAGGCAGGCCACGCGAACCTTGTTTATTGCATACCTGCGAACTAAAAACAAAACTCTGCATTTTCGCGGCTTAGTTCAATTCGATTTGCATTCGATTTTAAACGTTTTTCAGTTGAACGAGGCGAAATTGTACTGTTTCTTTGCGGTGATGTAAAGTACTGATATTCATGACCCAATTTGAGATGGTAAGATACTGAAGTGAAAAATAAATGGCCGCGCGTAGGGCTTTGTTTCCCTTTGAAACGCGATTTAAAGAGTAGATTGTAGGTTTCCTTAGACACTAGATAGTAACAGTTCTTTCTTTTACCGCAAATCCTAACAAATTAACGGTTAAAAAGTTAGAATGTTCCCCTTGTTATCTTGTTTTGACTGTGTGTTCCATTAAGCTTCATTACAAAAGGGAAGCCCGCTACAACATTAGGAGACCGTCACATTGACAAGTCCTACATTAGCTACTCACATTTCAAGATCAACATCAGATTCTCTTAACCAGTCTCCATGCAGTTTTAGAATTTTGCTCGGGAGAATTCATTTTTCAGTCAGGGTGTTTTCGCCTGCAATAATCAGGTACTTGAGTTGGGCAACGCTAAGGAGAAAGTTGAAAATAATTACTTGTGCAAATCGGTGTCAAGTCAATGGGGTTATAGAAGTTGCTTTCCGAGGAGGAAAATTACTGTTTATGTAGTAAAATGATCGGAGACGCGCGGTTGACTGGAAAAGCAGTTATCTCCGCAGATGTGTCGCAAAAATTAAGCAATTTCCTTGATTTCACATCTTATCTCATATCATCTGATCGGTAGAACAGTTTGGGACAAAACCAAAACAGTCGTATGCTGCTATCAATAGCAGATATAATGTGTTCTTCAAATTCCTTCCGTGGTTCAGACTCGCTGTCGACAGTTCGCTGGTGTTTTTACTCATTATCGGTGAACTGACTTTATTTAAAAGTCGATTTTCTATTGCAAAAACGAATAACATAGTTTGCTACTAAAACTGTACAAACTTGTTAAAACACTGTCGCATCGAAAGCTCAAGTGACCGAACCAAAGTTGTTTCATATAATACCATCTTAAGTCTGTGTCTGCGAACTGCAAACCGATATTTCAAGAGGACAGATCCATCAAACTTGTAAATATTTTGAGAGGCTCGTGTCTTCGTTTTGGCTGAGAGATATGAAAGAGTTGTTTAATTTAGCTAATTACTTGGCAGGACTTTCCGTAATGAATAAGTTGTTAAATGAGTGCAAAAATGAACAACGATCGATTATCGGGGGCACGTTCTTTGGAACTATTTTAAGCAGCGAGAACAATACAACTTTGACATTTCTCGACATTTGAAATCTATTCTGTACAAAAGGGTGGTAATTTGCAGCGTTGAAATGTGCTTAAATGGAATTTCATTTTAAATTAGTATTCGATCAAATCTTGATGCATGCCATTTCGTAGCTTTATTGCTATTTGGCAATTTAATTCAACTTTTCAAGAGGATATTTTTGTGATGTGTTTATTTTATGTTATAAGAATAACCATGCAATCGAAAAAAGACTACATTCTCGCGTGTCTTATTTTTTTTTATCTCGGCCGGGATCTACAGTCGGCTGAGTTGAATCAGACGACAAAGACGATATCACGTTATGAGTATAAGTATCTAAACAAGGTATTTCCTCTTTCCCTGCACTTTGACTTTCCAAATGAAAATGATTCCTTCATTAGTTAAGTTGTCCTTTCATTCCGCACACCAAGATTCCACCAGTATTATTAAATTTATATAATTTATAATTAATAAACAAAAAACAAAAAAACAAAAACGGTGCTTCGGAAGCTTTTGAGCATTCTCCTGGTATTTTCGTTGTTGTTGTTGTTGTTGTTTTTTTTTCGCCTCCATATTATGCAAGTTGGTCCCACACTTCGTTTACATGAAATTCCTTTCAGTCGTCTTGAAGATATTCCAGTTCGTCTGGGTTCTTTAGGGATTCCAGTTAAGATGAGACATGTTATAGAGTTTGCACTTTGAAAGTGAGTATTGTGACAAGGTAAAATAAGCCAGCCAGTCTAAGGTATAGGTGAATCTCGGAATGATATCTGATTAGGAAAATGAAGAGTGGGAAAGACCAGTATGAACTATACAAATTAGAATGATGTTGGCTCTTAAAAGAGAGGAAACTGAGAAGGCAGTTTAGCAGTGAATTCTTACCATTATTTAGCCGGATTTCATGTTCATGGGCGTTGAATTGTGGTACCTCTCCATGCAGGGCAACTTATTTGGCAAATTGTTGGATGTAACCTACTCATTGTTGACAAAGGAGCTGCTTTCTTCAATTGTTGTTGTTGTTGTTGTTTAGCTAACTATACCCCATACTTGTCAAACAAAGAAGAGAAATGAAAACAAAACAAAACACAGTCGTGGAGAAGGCCTGTGGATTGAACTGAATGCATCAGAAACGGTCCAACTTCAAAGGTTTTTGTTAAGCTAAACGTTTTGTAAATGTCTTCGTATTGTTTTCCACTTAGTCCTGCTTCACGGTAAGACGTTTTCACTCCCTGTTTTTTTGTTGTTTTTTTGTTGTTTTTTTTTCACTCCCTTGTTACTGCTTACAAGCCGTGCTAAATCTTCGCTGATTGATAAACAGGTCCCTTAGCTTTTTTCTTCTCTCGTTTTGAGTTTGTGACCATATCTTAGACAATCATGTGACTCGCACAATTTAATTAATTTCTCATCTTTATTCTCCATTTTTGACTTAGTCGCTCGTAATTCCTATCGATGTGTTCCGACGTTTTTTACCTTTGTGACGGATATTATTTTAAAGCTAGTTAATTCGATCAAAAGAATTTTTACACCGCAAAAATCTGACTTTTAAATCATGACATAACTTCTTCATTCAAAGTAAACTAAGGTTAATTTAACTGTTAAGCTATTTGTTAGCTTGGTGTGAACAGGATAAGGCCGTTTGTAATCTAATAGCGTTTGTGCGATCAAGAGAGGCTGCAAAAGGCTCCCAGACTGTAAGCTGTTTCGTTATTTCATTCCCCGCCGTTTTAAATGGTATTAGACAGCTCACTTCGCCCCTCAGGATAGAACGCGACAACCGTATTGCACATAATACAGCTAATACCGTTCAAGAGTTCCTTTCTCGCAAGCATTTTCCCAGGGCAAAAACTGTTGATAAACACTCATTAGCTACATTAATCCGTTTCTGTGCGAGAAAAACACTCCCCGCATTTTTTATGATCATTACGAGAGATTGACATGGATTAAAAACTGCATGCTTCGAAACATAATTTCTGATTGCTGCTGAAATTCACCAAGCGAAGATTCCAGCATTTTAAATCAAAGATCAAAGCAATTATTTTCGTTTTCCCTTCACGACGAAACTGTGCCCTTGTTTTGAGGTTACAAACTGATGATTGTGGCATTTTTTCCGTTGTTATTATTTGTTTCTGCACCCTAACGACACAGAGCGTTACTAAGGGCGTATGCCTTTCCTGAAAAGACGAAGAGGTGTCACACGGTGTAATCTCAGATTGTCCTTTGAGAACGGCTAACAGCCTAATCGGACATCAGATTTATTTTGTTCTGGTACTTTCCTTATCCAAACTGCTCGAGCCAAAACGAGAATTTTTTGCCGGCTATCTAAAGGACTGCTATAG